CTTAGTACAAAAATAAAAATTGGAAATATATATATATATATATAAGTTATAAAAATTTAAAAAAAAAGCTCTTGAAAAAAGAAAAGAAGTTATAAACAAAAAAAAAAGTTATCTTGACAACAAATAAAAATTAGGGAAAGTTACACATATACCCGTTATATTTTTTGTTATTACAAACGTACCGAATAGTTTATTACATGTCTGTCCGTTTTTTACCTTTGATAATGCAAATTTTAAAAAAAGACGACTTTACTTTTTTCGGGTGTTGAACAATCGAATTGAAGGGTTTTTCGGATGTTAAACATCCAAAAATAGCCCGAAAGTTTAACGTTCACATTCCCATTTTTTATTGTCCGAAAATAGCCCGAAACCTTATGGAATTTCGCATTTCGGATGTTGAACATACGAAAATGGTTTCGGATATTGGATATCCAAAAATGTCGAAAATGTGACATTTTCAGATGTTCAACATACGAAAATGTGACTACGAAATTTCAGAAGGTTTTTGGAATTTCACAGTCATATTTTCGTATGTTGAACATCCGAAAATGGGAATGTGAATGTTAAACTTTGGGGCTATTTTCGGATGTTGAACACCAGAAAAACCCTTCAATTCGGTTGTTCAACAATCGAAAAAGGGTAACGTCATCTTTTTCAAAAAATTGTGTTATAAAAGGTAAAAAAAGAATAGACATGTACTAACGGAAACTATTTGGTACATCTGTAATAACGTAAAGTATAAAAGATATGTACGTAATTTTCCCTAAAAATAATAATAATAATATAAAATTTACATTGACAAAAAAATAAATTTTATGACAGAAAAGTAAAAATTACTTTAACAAAAAAACAGTTTTTGTCAAAAAAAATAAAAGTTAATGTGAAAAATAAAATAAAAGTTATTGCAACAAAAAAAAGTTATATTGGCAAAAAAATAAAGTTACCTTGACTAAAAAGTAAAAGTTATCTTGACAAGAAAATATTTTTTTGTCAAAAAAAATAAAATTTACCTTGACAAAAAATAAAAATTACCTTGACCAAAAAATAATAGTTACAACAAAAAAAAATATTTATGACAAAAAATAAAAATTACCTTGACAAAAACTTAAAAGTTATGAGAAAAAAATAAAAGTTACGTTAACAAGAAAATAAAAGTTACCTGGGCAGCACTGTCTTCTTATTTTTCTTGTCAAAAAAAGAAAAAAAAGGTAATACAACAAGTATTTATGTCAAAAAATAAATAAAAATTAATACAACAATTATCATGCTTTTCAAGCACGCATTTGAACTGCGTTTATTCTAGAAACCTTAAAAAAAAATGATTTTTAAAACCTAAAAAATTAGAATTTTTAAAATTGGTAAGCATTCTAATAATTTATGTATTGATAACCAAATCTTATATTTTATTTAGTAATTTATTTACATTATAAATTATGTAACTTACTATTTTTTTCTTATAGTTGTCAATAATATATTTTAAATTAGATGATATTATAAGATATTTTGGATTTGTTATTATTTGTATAGTAAAATAAATATAAAATGTAAACCAACAATTTCAATTTAAGTATATAAAATTATAGTTAGTTAGGTTGTAATAATTTTGGATTAATGTTTGTTAGATTGTAATAATTTGGATTTTTTTAGTGGATTAAGGTTTTTCGTCAATTCAAGATTTTGGTGACCATTTTTTCATTGATTTAATCCATTCTTTATTGTAGTCCATCTATAATTATATATTTCATCCATGATAATTCTATGATTTTTCTTTTGTGTGATGCAAATTTAATTGTTCATACAGGGAAAAACAATCTCAATATTGGCATATTGGTAAAAAAAATAAAACTTAATAATGTGGTACCCCCATTTCTTATTGGATTCCTGAAAAAAAAAACCATTTATAATGAATTTTAATAATTTTTTTGGATTTTTTTAAAGTTTAATCCGACGGATTATGTTGATTTTCGATCCAGATCGCCGATTCACTTATCCGAATAGGTTTTGGGGTGCCCGATCAGGGGCACCAATCCGTTTCTTAAACCACTACTTAAAACCAAACCTGGTTTCTACGATTCGAGGATCGTATGCTGATTTCTGGGCAGTGTTCGCAAAATCGAACGGAACTGTTAATCAAACATGGGCCCGGAAGCGGTTTAACCGGCCTAAACAGTAAACTGGTCAACTCAACTGTTCTAATTAAGAAAGTCCCGAGTGGTCAAAAAAGTATTGAAAAAATAAAAAAATTTACAAGAAAAATATCTACTAAAATATAAAAAACATATAAATAAGGATTAAAACAAAACACATTCAAATGAAGTTGAAAATAAACGAAAAAATGGATTTTAACGAATCGATTTGTGCTTAGGGGTATTTTTAAAATTTTCAAAAAACATGAAAAAATATAAAAAGAGAGTAATAGTAATCAAAACAATTTTTAAACTTTACCATAGTATAAAGAATATTAAAATTGCACTACAACCCAAATTCCATATTTTTAAAAATTTATATATATTTTTTTAAAATCATTTTTTAAATATCAATCAATCACCAAAACCGTACAAAAACATAACCAACTAGTGGCCGGTTTCGATCTAACCGAATGGTTAGTGGCTAGTGGCTAGATCGCCAACAATGTTTCTAGGTAACTCTAATCCAGGAATCCGCATATTCATGAAAGCACCAAATTAGCTCTGATCCGGGAATCCGCATATTCATGAAAGCACCAAAATAAAGACAGAAAGGAGAAACCTTGCTTTAGAAAGAAATCTTGAATTCACCTTCTTTGAAATCTGGAACTCTACAATTTCGGCCTCGTATTTCTAATTTGAGGGACTTTCTTACTGTGCCATCTAAGATACTAAAAAAGCCCTGCCTTCGCCCATTCTATAATGGTGCCATCTTAAGATACTAAAAAGGCCCTCCCTTCGCCCATTCTGCCATCTAAGACACTAAAAAAGCCCTCCCTTCGTCCATTCTCTTAATGGTGCCATCTTAACGTACTAAAAAAGCCCTCCCTTCACCCCCACTCTATAATAAGCTCTGCCCACCTTGGGAAAGGGCCCCCACACCGAAGTTACCTTCGGAAAGGTGCGGGGCTCGTGATGGTAGCTCTCTTTCACGCGGTCACCATGATATGATTTCTTCCCACTTCCCTATTTTTTTTATAAAAACAGTTTTTTTTCATTGAATTATCCAAAACAAAATTGCCTTTCTCATTAAATTATCCAAAAAAAAATCATTGCTTATTTCTTTGCACAATAGAGACTTGGAGAAACATATTGTGTATTTATCTATAATTTTGCATATAAATTTTATTTTAAAATGGAAGAAATATCGTTGTATTTCTTCTTTATGGTTTTCATATCTCAATAGACCCAATGATTTAAAATCTATTTTCTAATCTTCAGATTAGCTTTAATAATTTTAATTATTTTTTAACTTTAACAAATATAAAAAAGACATGTTCATTCTAAACCCTTCATCTCTTTACGTGATATATTTGCCCCAATTTCTCTCTCTAACATTTACCCTCCCTCTCTCCAACGAGGGAAAGAGAGAGTGAGAGATACAGGGGAGAGAGTGGAAAAATAAATAGAAAGAGATTTTAGGAAAAATAATGTGAAGAGAGAAACGATGATTTTTAAAAAAAATATGTCTTCCTTATATTTGTTTGGGGTAAAAAAACAGGTTTAAAGGTGATAAAGTTAGCTTAAGGTTTTAAAAGATATAAAACTTAGAATTTTGATGACTTAAGATATGTTTTGAAACCTTGAGTCTATTGATATATAAAACATAAAAATTGGAGGTATGGAAATATTTTTTCTTTAAAATAATATGATGCCTCCTATTTTATCTTAAAAAAAAATTTCAATGCCTTTAAATTAATTTTCCTATCATAGATAACTTTTATTCCTAAAATGGTTGATACGAGTCTACAACTACTCACAATAGCAAATTACATACAAATTACCTTTCTCACTCTCATACACTTATACTCTTTCCACTTTCGTAAAAGTATACCAATTTCTCGGTAACTTTGCCATTTCTCAATCCGCATGCTCTTGAAATCACGAAAATAAAGAGAAAAGAGATACGGCAGTTAAAAAACAAATCCAGAATCCCTAGATTCGAGGCATGTGTTTCTGATTTCAGGGCCTCCCTTCTTAGCAAAGTGCCACTTAATAAATAAACCCTCCTCTGTAATAAGCTCTGCGAACGTGTGTGCGTTAGAGAGAATTAGTGAAACTGCATGTGCATTAGATAGAGATAGAGATAGAGATGGCACAGGGAAGAAGCGGTGCAATGGGCTTGGTGGCTTTGGTGCTTGTGGTTTTTGGGTTATTGGAACTTAGCACCGCGACCACTTACACGGTGGGTGATAGCGGAGGCTGGATTTTCGGCGTATCTGACTGGCCAAATGGAAAAAACTTCCTGGCAGGAGATGTGCTTGGTAACTGCTCTCTCTGTCTCTCTTTTTTTTGAGTTGTTTTTTTTAACTTTAATGAAATTAAAGTTAAAAGTTTAACTGCTCTCTCTCTCCCTCCTTCTTTTTTTTTTTTTTTGCGTTTTCTTTGGACTTTAATAAAATAGATTACAATCAATTTCCCTCTATCTAGCTTTTATGTTTTTAGAATGCTCTGTCTCTCCCTCACTGAGACTAATGCGATCGCGAACTTGTGTACTCTCTTTGCAGTTTTCCAGTATTCGGCCGTCCATCACAATGTGGTTGCAGTGAACGCTGACGGCTACAACAGCTGCAGCGTTCCTCCTGGCTCCACGACCTACACTTCCGGCAACGACAGCATTACCCTTCAAAAGGGAGCCAATTTCTTCCTTTGCGGCTTTCCTGGCCATTGCAGTGGCGGAATGAAGATCCAAGCCAACGCTGCATAGAGAAACTAGAGAGAGATGTTATAGTTAAAGAGGTTGTGGCTGTGGCTCTGAGGGTCGCATCTCATTTTCATTTTCTTATCTTTTCACTTCATCTGAGCAATGTCAAGTCTTAATACAAGCCGAGATCCGGCAACAAAATAAATAACATATGAGTTCATAAACCATGGAGCTTACTTTCTACCTCTTATGGGGCTGTTCTTTCAATTTATTTCTCTCACACACAAATTTATTCAGAGCAATTTTGGAGCTTATAATAGAATGCGTGGTTGATTTTTAGAAGATGCGGTTTTGATTTCTGAAAAGCAAGTCTTTTAGTGTTGTAGCACTTTCTTTGTGGGAAAACAAAGAAGTCTTATAATAAAATGAATTTTTATAATAAAATAGATATCAGGATATCCACTTATTTTATATTTAAGACTAAGAGGGAGGCACCCTCACATTTCATAGAGGACCGTGAAACTTCGGGTATCCCAAAAAAATATATGTTCCATGAATCAAACACGCCTTGAGCCTTTACCCTGTGAAATCAGGTGTTAAGTCATGAGGACTGAAAGCCGCTTTCCGTCACATCCTATCATAAATGGGATTTGACGAAGGGAAAACTTCGTAATGTTTTTCTCCGCGCCTATCACTCGAAAGTATTTGACTATAAAAATGCCATTTCATTCAGGGGATTCCAAATTCAACGGAAGTGTATATTTGCAATGATTTACTCTCATTGACATTAGACACCAAATTTGTTTATCGGCTAAAGTGGAAAACGAGAGTTTTTTTTTTTCTTTTTTGGTGAATCATTAGGGATATCGGCTCGTATACGTTTTATTAAGACTATTTTGGTGTTTTTTTAAAAAATTTAAATCATTTAAAGTTTTAGGTTTGTGTTTATAAAAAATTGAGGAATCTTCTAAAAATATCAAAAAAATTATTTTATATAAAATAAATTAACCAAAATACTCCCGAAATGTTTCGAGGTATTTTGGTCATTTTATTTTTCTTGAATTAATTTTTTTATATTTTTTATTAAGTGTTTCTTGATGAGAAGAATACACATCTAGAATTTCAAGTGATTTCGATTTGTAGAAAAAAAAATTAAAATTCAAACACTACGGGATATCCGTGATCGACATATCGGTCCATATTCAATCCGAGCTGTTGGGCTCATATATTCATATAAGCTAGTGGACTAATCTCATATTTTCCCTATATATATCTATATATATTTATTTATTTATATATTTATTTTATCATGCAACGGTTGAATAGGAATATAATATAATAACCTTAAAAAACCATGTTAGAGCCATTTGTTTGATCCAAAATTTGAAATATACATTTGTTTTTATTCTAGTGAACAATCACAAACAAAGAAAATTTTGAATATGTAACTCAATTAACATAGGATGTCTATTTTGATAAGATGCTTAGATCTAAACCTTAGAAGGATTTCTTTCTTTTTCAATTTTTTATATGTCTTTATTATCATTAGATGAATAATGTTTGAATTTGAGTTTGTAAAGGCTAAGATCTTGAAATTCGTCAAATGAATGGTCTAGATTTTTTGTTGGAGGGGACTCATTTTGACCATATCTAAGGTCCAAATTGAATTTTTTTTTTTTTAGGATTGATTATTGAGATGAAGAGTGTGTGTGTGTAAAATTTCGGGTCATAGAAATACCACAAACATGGTTTTCTTGAAGGGTGGTTGCTTCATATTATGATACAACTGTTGCATAAAATCAC